TACGTGTGTACCTGTATGTCTTTTGTCTGTATATGTCTGCAAAGTGGGAGGTCGCAGATCCTTCATATATATATGATACAATTAGCGTGTAGTATTAAAATCATATACAATTGTTACAATATTTAAATAGTACTTATTACATATATATATCATACCGATAAGGCTTAGATATACATATACAGATATATATATATGTATACATATATTTATATATATGTATAATCAATATTTATAGGGCTGCGCTTAATCTGTTTGCCTTAATGTTTTAATGTCCCGGTGAGAGAGAGAGAGAGAGAGAGAGAAAGAGGAGCCTTTCAGTTTTGCGAGTCAATTTCTCAAAGAATAGAGAAGAAAGCGGCGGAAAAGGTGGATTCAGGGGAAGAGAGAGAGAGAGAGAGAAGGAAAAGAGCAGAAAGAGAAAGGGACGATTGAGCCGAAAGTACAAATGTTCAAAGGGAATAGAGCGGATATATGTATAATATACAATTATATCACGGCGATGCTGCATCTTCTGATAACAACAAATTCAATATCTTATTTTGAAAAAAATCGTATAATTTGCAAATTTGAGTTAGCTCTTAAAAACCCAAAATTATAATATTTAGAAATTTTCCAATTTTCAAGATTTAGTTCATAATCAATTAAACGTCATTTGCTGCCTGGATAAATATATGAATTCTGTAAGCACTTTTTATGCTTTCAGGCTTTCAAAACTTGATAAATAAAATTCTACAAAATTCCGAAAATATGTTTACGTCTTAATTGTATGTTTTTATGGAATTTTTATAGCGAAGAATTGAATTTGTCGTATACAGATATTTCAATGATACAATTTTCGTGTCCTTTCTCTCGCTTATACATATTTTCGCCTTCGGGCATACAATTTTTGCCGCTTCGCTTTAAAATATTTTCTCGCCGAAAAACTTTTTTCGCACGCCACCGTATCAAAATAGTACAGCGAAGAAGAAGAGGATGCTCCAAAAAAAAAAATTAAAATAACACGGGGAATTGGATGAGTCGAAGTCAACCGCTTCTCCCTTTCGTTTCTCTTTCACAGTTGATAGTTTAACGAGTTTTAAGTCGCGGCTTAACAAGTCACAGTTCATTCCAGACCGTTGCAGTAAAAGATAATAATTCCGTACAATTCATACGCAACGGAAAATGAAATTTTGATTGACGAGAGTGAAGGGTCCAAAATCAACTGTCACTCGTCGAAAATCCTACAGCTGACACGAAAGATGCGAATAAAAAAGATTTTGCGATTGATTTTTCACCGGTCCGTTTTTTTCTCTTTCTTCTTCTTCTTCTTCTTCTTCCTCTTCTTTACAATACAATAAACGCATTTACGGGAAGAGAGCAGCGTCTCGTCAGCGATATCGTTTTTTTTTCTCGCACTATATAAAAAATTTACACTATTTATATAATTAAAAATCGATAAGAAGTTCCTTTCTTTTTTTTCTCCTTTTGGTACAAGGGGGAGCTTAAGTAGATGTATATATATATATATATATATATATATATATATATATGTGTGTGTATTTATTTATATATATATATATGACGACAGAGCGCTAGGTAAATGCGATTTCCTATGTCTAAACGTTCATACCAAATCTTGACAAAGATTTTGTTGATCAAGGAGGGTGGGAAAGAGGGGTTTTTTAGAGAGAGAAAGACAGGAGAGACGTGACAATAGGAGAGATTAATGAGAAATGTATTTGAAATATGCTATATCATATTTATAAATATGTGTGCCGAGTTTACATGCGTGTATGTATATATGTATATGTATATATGCGCGTGTATATGTATATATATGTATATACTTGCGGGGGATATATAACGTAGGCATACACATATATTTACATATGCCTGGCACGATTAATAATAGCTGGGGGAGGAGGAAAAAGGACGGTTAATCAAAAAATTATATTCGATAATATGTAGCAATAATACAATATACCATAATATATATATATATATATATATATACATATATATATATATATATATGTATGTATAGAATAATAATAGTAATAAAAGTATATGATAGGTAAGTCGAGTAAATCTTACATTAGCTGATAAGACATGAGAGAAAGAGAGATAGAGAGAGAGAGAGAGAGAGATTTTCGCTTTCGTATCATTTTTCGCATAATTTTTTCATTACCTTGCTCTTCTTTATTTTATGCGCGGTTGATTGACGGGTGATTGATGGATTACTATTACAGATGAGAGGCGCGGTGTGTTTTTTCTCGACCTTTAATTTACAAGATGACGCGCGATTATTACACGGATGAAGGAACTATTTTTTTTTTCACGTCGTTTCCCTTAAACATTATAAACACGTGTTTTACACTGTCTCTCGCGTTTATTTATAATAATAATAATAATAATAATAATAATAATAATAATAATATAATAATAATAAAATAATGATAATTCGCTGCGTTTTTTCAACGGTTTATACAGGTCCTGTGTCCTGTCGACTGAGGATGAGGTGGAATGTCTGTCTATATATAATATATATATTTTCAAGAGAGATTTATTTATCAACCGTACGTCTCTCTCGCCTTTTTATTTGTATGTGTGTGTGTGTATTTATGTGTAATGCATGTATATAAACATCGAGAGCGAGTATTCTCAGCGATTTTCCGAAGGATCGCTCCTAAAATTTCTCTTTTTTTTTTTGCGACAGCAGCAATCTTTGTTTGGAACAAAGAGAGATAGAGAGAGAGATAGAAAAGGTACTTAGGAATTTGTCAATTTCATTAATAAATCGTTATTTACAATATCTTACAAAGAAAAGTGCTACATAGAATTCTTCTCTCTTCCTTTTTCACTCTTTTTTCCTTCTTTTCTCTTCCTTAATCCCCTTTTTTTACAGAGTCAAACATGTTTTTCTATATATCATTAAATCTAGTTGTTGCTGATGAAATGTACTCTTGGAAATTCGATTTTTACATATTTAATATTTAACGCGTCGAACATAAATATAAATATATACCGGAACATAAATATAAGTCATACATTGAAGGTGAGGAAAAATAGTATATTGTGTATCAAGTGAGGAAAGTTGACAATTGGTCACGAGTGCGGGGGATGGACGCACGAGCCGAAGGCGAGTGAACAATTGTCAATCCGCACGTGATACACATACTATTTTGTATTACAAGTGCAGGCAAAGTGGCTTTGTGCGCGTTTTCTGTGCGCGAGATGGCCGATCGCACGCCGCCATCTTGCGGCGGCATGGTGCGGGAATAGCCGTGTTCAAAGTCATTGTCCACGGCTGAAGCCGTGGGCAATTTCAAACGCGACTCAGCCGTAGGAAATGGCTTTGAATGCGGCTTATTCACTCATCGCGTCGCCGCTAGATGGAGGCGTGGGAAATCGGCCGCTTTCCGCACAGAAAACACGCACACAAAGTGCCACTTTGCCTGCGCGTGTAATACAAAAATGATTTAATATAATAAAAATCTGTTTAAAAAACCGCGTACGATCCTATGGAAAATTGACGAGTATAATACGCCCTCTCCTTTTCTATAATACAATTAAAAAAATGTTCCGTGTACATGTGTGTGTGTGTGTGTTTATATGCAGAGATAAAGGGGGGCCAGAAAATGGAACGCGAAAATGGATTTATATATAGATACACATGCGTTGTGCACGATTTCCTGATACTTTTTATGCTTCTCGAGAATGCGTTATATCATTTATACAATGTACAATGTGGTGTCTTTCACGTAGCTGCAAATTATTTTGTAAAGGGAATAAAAATGAAGGAGGGAGTCGGGTCTATTTATATATAGATATAATATGTATATATATATAAATGATTTTTTTCTCTCCTGATGCGATATTTTCCATGAAAAAATGTTTCATATATCTTACAATTGGATACTTCGGCAAAAATTGGTGAAATCGGTTTTGTGAGAATTAAAAGGAGAGGCTGGGACACAGAGGGGCGCGAACTTAAATTGGTGTTAGGACAGCAGCAGCGTTAGATCGTTAAATCATAGTTAAATTTAATATAATTATTATAATACATAATATTCACAGACCGTCAAAAGTAAAGGGGGTAAGGAAGGGGGGAAAAGTTCCCGTGAGAAATAAAATATTTCATTGAGAATTTATCGGTCCTCGCGTTATTTCGGATATCCGTATCTATACACATTTGTTATTTATTTATATCACAATTTACAAAATTCGAGGATCTCTCAAGAGGGCTCGAAGGATGGGATACGGGACAGCGGAAAATATAAAAAAAAAGAGGGAGAAAGAAAGAGGAGGAGGAGGAAAAGAAATATAATATTGTTTGCGTATTGGAAGTTTCTTTCTAAAAAAAAAACTCGAACAAAAAATGAACAGGGGAAAATTTGCCGTTTCCCTCTGATGTATGCGTACGTAATAATAATAATCACATTCGAAAATCATAAGCACAAATAAAAAAAGAAAGAAGAGAAACTTTTTCTCAGAAATCTTCGAAGATTATATCTCAACATAAAAAAAGAAAGGGGGAAAAAACGAAAATTAAACAATGAAATAATATCGTTTTGCACGCGAAAACATTCCAAGTTAGGGGATTGGGGGACAGATCGGTGATCGAGGTCAGGTCACAGGTCAAGTCCAGGGTTCAGGTCCAGAAATCTGTGCCCGATTTTCGTTCCCATGTCAAACGCTATGCTACATTTAAACAATCATACATATCTATAACTTCTAAATCTTCTACTTCCTTTCAAGACTCTTTTAAACCTTTATTCTCTCGTCCGCTGACTCGTTGGTCGCGATCGGGGCGCATACCGCGTTAAAAAAATAATACTAAAAAGCAGCAACTTATACTTTTCTTATGTAAAACGAGAGAGGGCGCGGTATACGCGAGATCGAGAACCGTATGTATTTGTGTATGTAATGTGTCTGTGCTACAACCCTCCTACAAGTCGATATAAATGCATACAGCACTAAGACCTAAGACTTCCTCTAAAACTGTCTCTGTGATTTCTTTATTTTTTTTTTTTTTTACCGTGCCGCCCTCGTAGAAGCTTGTATATTTCGTTCGTCGAGTTCGTGTGACGTCTCGACGAGCCGCGCTTTATATTCTATTTCCATAATAATGCTCCGTTTACTCTCGCCGGGGAATCTCGGTACTCTCTACTTCTTTTTTTTTTCTTCCGAGAGGACTTAACGAATCTAATAATCCAGCACGTGACTCTAAGAATCGAGCGATGCCTTCTTCCTTCTTTCGAATCTCCACGGAACGATTGCTTGCTCGTTTTAGCTTCGACAGCTCAGCATCGTGTAATGTTTCTGAAACTCGTCGAGCTGATCGCCTTCGTAATTTTTTGTTCGCAAAATCGAAAATTATAATATTCGAAAATATGCGATTTCCTTACACTCGATGTTTTCTACTCGTGTGTGTACAACTGTAACGCGAATATTTCTCTACGCACAGAAGGGCTACGACGTTTTGCAAAACGATAGAAAAATGCTCTACACAACGTGTCTCCTCTACACCTTCGTTTCTACGAACTCTGCTTCTTCCTTTCGCGGGGTTTTCAGTAAAATGGACTCGTCATGTGCCGTCTGTGATTTGTCTCGCGTTGCCCGGGTCCCGAAGAAGCCCGACATTGCTGTACAAGGTATCATTGATCATCGAGGATTAGAAAAAAAATCGTACATTAGAATTAGAAATGATCTCTGCGAGGCTTCGCCTCGCCTTTTCGCTTTCTTCGAGGACGCGGGACCGAAGCGAGAGTTAAAAATAAAATAAAATAAAAAAAAAAAAAAAACGAGGGATCCTGGAAATACATGAGATATTCTCATCGGTAGATATAGAACAGATCTCGCTACAAGATAAAAGTAAGACAGTAGGTTCTTTTGCTGTTTCGCTTGCCTCTTTTCTTCATCTGTCGCTGCTGTCTTCTCTTCTCGGCGACAGAAGCGTGCGACGACCTCGTGCTTATAAACCCGTCACCTGGGCCGGCTGCTGGCTGGACGTCGAGACCGGGCCGGACGCGGCTGACGCGGGAGGCCCGATCGGGCCGAGGTCGCCGCCTCCGCCGCCGCTCGTCGACGTGCCGCTCGGCGTCGCGCCCACTCCCATCGCCGAGGCGGTCTTCATAAAGAACTTCTCCAGCTTGACGATGATGTGCTTGCCGTAGGTGTACTTGCGCAGACTACCCAGGTGCGGTCGAATCTTGTGCATCAGGATCTTGCGCTGCGCCGGCTCCGCCACGTCGATCATCTTCTGCACCACGTAATTGGCGTACTGGTCCTTCATCATCACGTTCAAGGCGCTGGGCAGAAAGGAAAAGTATTATAGTGTTAAAATATAATTTTATATATTTATATATTTAATATTATATACTTTTTATATATTTAGTTTCTCTTGGTAGAGGAGAGAAACACCTGTCAAATCTTAGAAATAAATTCTCCAGGTACGTTTGTTCAAACTTCCAAGTAAAATTAGAGTATTTTAAACATTTTTTAATGCAATTTTAAATTAATAATAATATAATATTATATTTTATAATAAAATATATTTTAATATACCTTATATAAATCTAATAAATTATTATTATATTCTTTAAAGGTATGTTTGAAAATAAAATCAAAGGGGCAATTTTTGAAAAATTCCCTGAGAATTCCAGTTTTTCCAAGGAATATACATCCTGTTTCAGGGTGTTGAAATATTACGTCGTTCTGGAATAAAGGTTTGCGCGCACTCACTTGTCATTAAAGCCGCAAACCTCTTCGATCAGCACAGCGCGTTCCTGTCTCGTAGCGTGTGTTACGCATTTCTCGACCACGTTGCTCGCAAATTTGTGCTGGGATAGAGCGAGCACCTTGCCTCTGACGCTGCTGATTAATTGTGCTTTGTCTTCTGGCTTTCCGTGTTCTACGAGAAGCCAAAAATTAATAATAATATATGGACATAGTTAGATATAATAATATATAATATTAGTATTATTATAATATTATAATATATATATTATATATATTATATATATAGATATAAATAAGATAATAAATAAAAATAATAAAATAAAATAAATAATTAATTAATAAAAAGAAATAAAATATATAATAAAATAAATAATATAATAAATATAATAATAATTAATAAAAAAATAAATTATATTTACCGAGAACGTGTTGTATGACGTAATTGCCATACTGATCCTGGATGAGTTGATCCGTGGCGGCGTGCAACTCCTGCAGTATACCTTGAGTTTGTTCGGCAGTGCAGTGCTCGAGAATACGTTGGATCACTCGACAGCCGTAAGGATGAGTGCTCAGGGAGTAGACCTGCCCAGCGAATGCACCTATCACGAACTGCAGCGCTCGCGGTTCGACGCATTCGATGCACTTTTGCACAACGTGATTTCCATTTTGATCTTTTACGCATTTCAGCACGTGCCCGTCGAGCTCCCGCACGATCTCTTGCTGTGTTCCGGGGCGATCGACTCGAGGGCCTTCTGTATTACTCTACAGCCATACATCTGCAGCGCTAACGGTAAAACGTGTCCGCGAACCTGGTACAAATGGAATAAAATAAATGATTTTCTTATAATGATATTCTTGATATAATTATCTCGCGAAGTGTCAGAATATTTTATACGTAATCACGTGGACTCAGATGACACGCAAATTATTTCATCATATTTATTAAGCAAACAAGTACGCTAAACATAATTTATATATATATATATATATTTTTATTACATTTTTTAATATTATAGTATTAAAATATAAATTTTATATATTTATATATTTAATATTACATATATACTTTTTATATATTTTATATAAGAATATGAAATATATATTATATAATATATTAAATATAAATATATAACATATACATATAGTATTAATTACGTATAATACTAATATATAATAAATATATTAGTAATAATAATATTCTTAATATTTATTAATATGTGGCTTGGCCACCTAAAATCGATATATTTTGTAGAGAAACAGATTTTGTCGATTGAAAAAAATTTCATTCGGCGCGAAAAATAAAATTCACCTTTTGAGCGAGAGTTGATTTCTGTTCCGGCGTGCCATATTCAAAGAATTTCTGAATGACATAATTTCCAAAGACGTCCGTCATGAGAGAATACGCGGAGGAAAGGATCTCTTGAAACACGAGCTGTTTCTCATTGGCTGAGGCTCGTTCCAATTTCTGCTGAATAAACCGCGAACCATGCTGATCCTGGCTGAATTCAACTATATGATTAGCTAAATCACGTAACTGTAGACTCGGGAATCTGAGAAGAAAGAGGAAACAATTTCATTTATTAGCACATTTGTTTAGCTGATACCCCCCAGCTTGACTGCGACCATCCAAAGTAAGAAATTACGTAATTCATTTCTTATAATAGACGGCAAAATTATTTCATCACTCTGATTATTTAGAATTTGAAACACGTGATCACTCGTCCTTGAGATTACTATTAAACAGGACTAAGGGGACGAACCGATTGTTGCGGAAATCTTCCAGCAGCCGTGATCGCCCTCCTGCGTTCTTGTCGCTGATGTTGGCGGCGCCTCCGCGCCCGGGTTTGCCGACGAGATTGGGAAACAGGGAGCTGCTGGAGCCGAACACTCCATTGGCCGTCAACGCGGGAACCGCGCTCGCGCGAAACTTGGCCTCGGCACCAGGAGCCGCTGACACCCGGCTGGCTCCTCCGACGAGGCCACCTAAGGAGCCGCCCAAGGTCGGCGGCGGCGTTAATGACAGTCCTAGGGGACTCGGTGACGCAGTAACTGTACCTGATAAATCAAATGTAAATTGTATTTAGCGAGGAATGTCAAACGTCCGCTCAATACCTTGCAATTACACAACTTATTGAATATACAAAAATCATTTGTTGATAATCAATTAATAATTGAATTTGATAAATTATATAAATATCGAGAGAATATTTCTAGAATATTTTCGCTGATATAATGCTCTGTACATTTTTATTTTCTTATTATTATTTTCTTTTTAATAAAAGCAATGTACAATATGTATAGAGGCTGAATATCTAGTTGCACAGCGTGTTATGTTAAAAATATGTTATATATATGAATTACAATGGCATGGACTGATCGCCAAGACGACCTCGTTGGCGCGTCTCGTCGAGAGCAACATAATTCACAACGTCGGGATCAATTTTAGAGAGAAGGGTAGGCGTTGTTACCATAGCCGAGTTATGTATACAAAAGCACGTGTACAAATGAAAATTGCGATATATATATATATATATGTATATGTATAATATATTATAGACACAATGTACAACATAGGTGAATCGTCGAGCGTCTCGATATGGCGATTCCGAGATGCCTCACAGCTGTGAACAGGCATCCTGAAGAGCGAATCCTCGAAAATATCCTCGCAGACCAAAAAGAGAACGATAAGGAGAGTCTTCTAATAAGGAGAAAAAAAATATATGATATATATAGACAGGGTGTATACTCAAATTTTATAAATTCTCTGAGGATTCCACGATTTTCCATGTACATTTGTTCAAAATTCCAGATAAAATTAAAGTATTAAAAAAATGTTAATTACAATTTTAAAATAAGTTTATTTTTGTCATACATAATTGTTTAACATAAATAAACATATTTTTGAATATAATAATATATTATATTTTATAATAAAATATATTTTAATATACTTTACATAAACTAAATAAGTTTTATATTCTTTAAAAGTATATATGAAAATAAAATCAAAGAAGCAATATTAAAAAAAAAAAAATAGATTCTGAGTTCAAAATAAATTCTATGAGTATTCCAGAATTTCTAAAGGTAGAAAAAAAATTCCCTGAGAATCCAGGTTTTTTCCGGGAGTATACACCCTGATAGATAATTCTCTCTCGTTATCGTAAACTTCTTCATGTTTTCTCCTCACAACGAGAATATTATCGCGAAACTCATCGCTTCGGATGCCCCACATCCTGTGGTATCAGAATACATTTCACACACAACAAAGCGATCCTTACCGAGGGCGCCGTAACTCTGAGGCCACTTCGCCCGGCTATATTCCAAGCTTGGACTGAAGGCTGAAGTATTTCTATCAAAGGAATCTCGTCTGCCGGTCGAGGACGCACCGAGGCCTAAACCTGCACACAAGATGGACACCGTCATCTTAACACGGGAACGGATGAGGAGGGAGAGCCGCTCTCGAGGGCGAGACCGAGATATTCGAGCATGAGAGACGAGATGATGATTAATTGAACGGATACGTTGCACGATAATAATCAACAAATCGGCACAAACGCTCTACGAGAGAAAGACACGGGGTTGGGTTGACATTTCATGTATGTATATGTATGTTTAACACGGAGATACAAATCAATCGGGTTGTTATATGAAGCATGCAGAACACCTTGGGTTTTATTTTTATACATAAACAATTCCGTACACCACCAATGTAAAGGAGCTCTTTGGTCCCAGGAAAAAAGCGCTTGAGTTAAAAACAAACTTGAGTGTATTTCAGGATTTCTCTTTTAAAATACTGTAAAAAAAAATATATTTATATATATATATATAAATATATGAATCTCTCTCTTTCTTTTTATACAGAGTTATATCCTACCATACTGCAGTTATCGACAAATAATTACACTATATGCAGGATTCCGCATCAAGTAAAAATAGGATTTTGTTTTCGGTGAAACTGGCTGTTTTTTTCATATGTTAAAATATAAAGCTAAACTTGAAATATTGAATAGTTACTGAGTTATAGCCAGTCAAACAATTCGTAGAGCCCAAGTTTTTCGTATTTGACTAGCTGTAAATCAGTAAATATCTATTATTTAGCTTTAAAACTTACTTCATTTTTGATGAAGTTACAATATATGAGGGAAAGCCAGCTGATTTTACCAAGATTAATTTTATATAATCAGTACATTTTTAAATCTATATAAAATCCTGGATAAAATTGAATTCTGGTAAAATCCACTGATTTTTTTTTCACATGTAACTTATGACTTAATGAACAAAAAATGTACTAAGCTTAATAATAGATGGTTACTGATTTATAGGCTGTTAAACACAAAGAATGAGAATTTTGCGAATTATTTTATTGTAACTCAGTAATTAGCCAATATTTCAATAAGCTCCAACATAAAAAAGCCAATTTCACCGAAAGCCAAAATCCTATGTATTTGATGCAAGGTCCTTTTTTCTTTTTTCCGTCTTTCACTTGACTACTTAATTTTATTATACATACTTATTTTTCATACGAGCGCATACTTACTTTGTGTTTCCTGAAAAACGACCCGTGCATACCGATTATATATACAAGATTCGTTAAATTTAAAAGTTTATTTTTAATCACAAAAAAAAAAAAAAAAAAAAAAAATAGAAATTACAAACTTAGTGGAAGCTTCGTTACATGCGATCTGTATATTTTTCCGAAATATATAGATTTGGATTTGGAAACATGTTGATGGAGACAGTATTTTGAGTCATTTTCCAGAGGATAAAGAGAGAATCCCAGAACCCAGGACGTGATACTTTAAGGATCTAGGATACCTTGAGGATCTAGGATACCTTGAGAATCTAGGATACCTTCAGGATCTAGAATACCTTAAGAATCTAGAATACCTTGAGAATCTAGGATACTTTAAGGATTTAGGATACCTTGAGGATCTAAGATACTTTGTATCTAGGATACCTTGAGGATCTAGGATACCTTGAGGATCTAGGATACCTTGAGGATCTGGGATATCTTGAGGATCTGGGATATCTTAAGAATCTAGAATACCTTAAGGATCTAGAATACCTTGAGGATCTAAGATACTTTGTATCTAGAATACCCTAAGGATCTAGGATACCTTGAGGATCTGGGATACCTTAGGGATCTAGAATACCTTGAGGATCTAGGATACTTTGAGGATTTAGGATACCTTGAGGATCTAAGATACTTTGTATCTAAAATTCTTTGAGGATCTAAGATACTTTGTATCTAGGATACTTTGAGGATCTAAGATACTTTGAGGGAGTAGGAGATCGATGGTAATACCTGTGTTCTGTAACTGGGCAGGTGAGCCTAAGGCCCCAAGGGGGGAACCGCCGTATCCTAGAGCCGCTAAACCCGCGGCAAGTCCCGAGCTCTGCTGCTGAGCCTGTTGTACCGCAACCGCCTGAGCCTGCGCGACCACCGCTGCTGCGCTGCAAGCTGCCAGACCTGCACCAAAAGCCCGCGAAACCCACACGCGCTCTCTTAGTCGTCGTAAGTGTGATTAGCGATGTTATATCGAGCCTTACACCGTCTAACAGCCTGGACAAGAATAATACGCTCTCGCGCTCGCGTGAGAATCCACCGAATGTTTAATTTGTAAATTTTTTTGCCGAGAATATCCTTTTGTTCCTTGGTGGATTTATCGGAAATCGCTATATTCTACACCCAAATCTGCGACGCGCGAGCCTGTCTTCCTCCTTTCCCGTCTTTTTAGTCACACAATGTTACAAGTGCGTCGTGTGTTTTCTTTTAAATATAAGTATTTACAGAAAACGGACGAGTTAACCGTGAACAGGAGAACGATCAAACGTTAATAATATACTGGCACGGTTACTATATCATATAATCGGACAACGTTCTCTCGTAGCGCACGGTCATGCATTACTACAAGACACGTATTACACGACGAGAGGATAAGGATAAATATGTATATATGTATAATATATATAGAGAGAGAGATAGAGAGAGATCTTTACAAATGTTATACATACACGATTTTACAAAGGCTTCTTACAAAAGAGTACTGTTTACAAAGAGAGAACACTAAAACGCCAGACTAGGAGAAGAATGTCATTATTCCTCCACGTTGGACGAAGACTCACCTAGACATTCGCCAGGCGTAGCATTGCTATGAGACGTCGGGGTCGGCTGGGAATATAGATTCGGCGGTGGCGGTGCTGGTGGACCCGGTTGAGGCTGAGCCGGAGGGGCTCTGTTCACCAGGACCGGCGCGGGGCTAACTAATCTCATGGGGGTCGCCGCCGAGCTCAGACCGCGAACACCTCCCATCACAATGGAACCGTTCTGATCGTAGTAAGCCGGTATCACCTGGTATTGTCCTTGGACCTGCAAAACAATCCATTACATTAATTAATTGTCGCAGAAAATTATTCTAATTATTAAAAGCAGCGATAAAACATTTTATCGAAATTAATCTTAAAATTAATAAAAATTAGTAAATTATAAATTAAAAATAATAAATTAAATAATAAATTTTATAAAATAAGTAAAATAATAATAATAATAAATAATTAAAAAAATAAATAATAATAAATTAAAATAAAGTGCAAAACAAAATATCCTATTAGCAAGACTTGTAGATTTTATAAAAACAAATCGAATAAAATACATTAAAAATAAATAAAATATTAAATTACAATAATAAGTTTAAAAAGTAGTAAAAAGGATAAAAAATCAAAATAAAATAAAATAAAAATCTTGTAAAGACTAAAACGTTTATACGACGTTCAATTTAAATCGCTGAAATTTCAGTTTGTATTACTTTTGCACTGCGCACATAAATATACGATAGACGTAACTCGCCAAATTGAACGTTTAATTTTGTAAGTCGAGAATACATCCCGGTATCTCCCACCTTCCCTTCCACACTACTTGTCACTGTAGCGAAATATTTGGCTAGATTGAAGAGGACAATGTGGCAGCTTCTAATTGGCACAATAGGCGTTTCTCATCGTACGTCAAGCGTTCGAGAGAAAACAAGTATCATCGGTTGCTCTCGTGACACATACACACACACACACAGAAAGTCGCGACAACACGAGAGAGAAAATAGCTATTACAGGATTAGAAACATATCTAAATTCGCAGTACGCGCTAATTCGTGAGCTCTCTGTCTTACCCCGCCGCCAAAAGCCTAAATTTAGACCCTTTATTTAATGGTCATGGTTCACGCATCATCACCACACTTTTGCGCGGCTCGATTTATGTCGAAACACGTGTGAACGAGCCATCCGGACTCATTATTCTTTCTTTAAAATAAGAAAAAGAAGAAAAAATGTATATGTAAAAAAGAGATGACTCTTTGTTGAAAATTTTGCCAAAAATTGTGAAACTTATATTTTTCGAATTTGTATATGTAGAAGGTCCTCGTAATTAATTTTTAAAGCACTTATGATAATTTGTTAAAAAGATCATGAGCAGAAATTTCGGTTTCTAACCGACAACAAATTGCAATAATAAAAATTGACTGAACACTTTTTGTTTGATAGAAAAGCAATGTCACCTTGACTTTTTGAAAAATGATGTATGATTGTATTTTTAATAGTAATGTATAGAGGACAGCAAAATAAGTTCAATGAATATCCACAATGTCATTTTTTAAGTTACAACTCAATAAATTACTTTAAATTTACTAAAGTGTAATTCTTCGCTGTCGAAGAACTTTTTTAGAAATGTAAATAATAAATGGACTCGATAACTTGGCATTATGTTGTTCGTAATATTGTTATTTAGCTATTAACCTGATTAGTAAACTTATCAGTTTATCGCGTGCCTAATGAATTGCTTTGTAATAAAACGTTCAAAATAATTATGATTATTTTGATCGTATTGATTATATTTTGACCATTTTAATTTGTTTTTAACACTTTGATCATTTTATTATATTGAACAAAATGATGAAAACAATCAAATTGATCAAATAATTAAAATAATCTATATACAGAGTCCCAAAATTAGTAAAATACCTGTTAATGGCAGATTCCTGGGATCGTCTGGAGATTTTTCCTCAACGAAAATGAGGGATCATCATTTTTTTGCATGTTTCTAATTTTTGCCATGATGTATCTTTGTAGCTAAGCTTTAAATTAAAATTCTATTAGAGTAAACTCTACTTGAAATTAATTAAAGAATGTGGTTTTATTAATACTTTATTTCCACAAGGTTTAATTTGCGAAAAATTCTTTATTTTCAATCACTTATATATTTTTTACTCAAAAATGATTGGTGTCTCAACCCAGGAGAATCTGCCATTAACAGGTGTTCCGCTAATTCTAGGACACCCTTTATTAAAAAAATAATAAAAATGGTGAAAATAATCACTTAACTGATATACCTTGACGCGATGGGGATCCAGAGAGACATTCTTTCTACCACACATTTCATAGTTTAGCAAATGTAATTTACGGAGACTATAAAGACCTCTTTTTCATCCTCCCTAGACTCATAATTACAATTACTTCCGGCGGCACGCTATAATTAGCTCACCGTTTGCGCCAGGTTGTTCGCGGAGTCCTGCGCGACTGCTGCCGCGGCCGCCGAAGACGGGGTGAGGGGCCGTCGTGGTGGCGGCGGGGCGGCCGCTTGGGGTGGTGCTTGGGGCAGCAATCCGGCCGGGTAGACCCAGGGCCCGACTCCATAGTATTGCGGTACAACTGGCGGTGGCGCGCCTGCTATCAGTGCCCCTACGTAAGGTTCCTGACCGCTGATTACGGTATAGGGAGCCGCAGGGAAGTTCTGCTGCTGCTGCTGTTGCTGCTGCTGCTGCGCCTGGGACGCGGCCAAGTACTGCTGCTGCTGTTGTTGCTGCTGCTGCTGAAGCAGCTGCAGCTGTTGCGGCGTCGCCCCTTGCGGTTGACTGCGAAACAGTTGCTGCAAAAAAAACGAAAAAGGTACATGAGTATGTGATAGGAGAGATTGTTTCCTTAATTATAATGTTTTCCTATTCTTCTTCAGAAGAGAGTCAAATGATAATGCAATTTGGAAGCATTGGTATTCGAGAAGATGGGACAGCCTAATGGCTGTAAACTGGTAACAGTCTATTATATTGGATTTGTCCTTTATTGCTGCACTGATGAACTGGTGCAGTAAGTTAGAGTGAAATAAAATATATTTGTCTCACTTTGACTTATTGCACCAGTTGTTGCAAAAAGAACGAAAAAGGTACATGAGTATGTGAGAAGAGGTTGTTTCCTTAATTGTAATGTTTTCCTAAGAATATTCTTTTTCAGAAGAGAGTCAGATGATAATGCAATTTGGAAGCATTTGTATTCGAGAAGATGGGACAGCCTGATGGCTGTAAACTGGTAACAGTATTATATTAGGTTTGTCCTTTATTGCTGCACTGGTGAATTAGTGCAGCAAGTTAGAGTGAAATAAAATATATTTGTCTCATTTTGACTTATTGCACCAGTGTGCACTAGTTCACCAGTATAGCAATGGAGAACAAACCCATATTTTGTTCAGAAGTAGGTCAGAAGCTACAATATATGAGAAAACCAGATGATTTTATCGGGATTCAATTTCATTTAGAATTTTATATATCAAAAACTTCATAATCCTGTACAAAATTGAATCCTGATAAGATCAGCCGATTTTTTCATGTTGTAGCTTATAATTTGATAAACAAGAAATGTAATGGACTCAAAGTTAAATAGTAGACGATTACTGGTAGGTTTATAGCTAGTCAAATCCAAAAAGCTACAATATATGAGAAAACTAGGTGATTTTATCGGGATTTAATTTCATCTAGAATTTTATACATCAAAAATCCCACAATCCTGTACAAAATGGAATCTTGATCAGCTGATTTTCTCACATGTTGTAGCTTATGATTTGATGAACAAGAAATGTAATAGGCTCAAAACTAAATAGTAAACAATTTCTAGCAGGTTTACAACTAGTAAAACACAAATATGAGAAGACCAGGTGACTTTATCGGGATTTCAATTTCATCTAGAATTTTATACATCAAAAATCTCACAATCCAAATCCAAAAGCTACAATATATGAGAAAACTAGGTGATTTTATCGGGATTTAATTTCATCTAGAATTTTATACATCAAAAATCCCACAATCCTGTACAAAATGGAATCTTGATCAGCTGATTTTCTCACATGTTGTAGCTTATGATTTGATGAACAAGAAATGTAATAGGCTCAAAACTAAATAGTAAACAATTTCTAGCAGGTTTACAACTAGTAAAACACAAATATGAGAAGACCAGGTGACTTTATCGGGATTTCAAGTTCATCTAGAATTTTATACATCAAAAATCTCACAATAATCCTGTACAAAATTGAATTCTGGTAAGATCAGCCGATTTTCTCACATGTTGTAGCTTATGATCTGATGAACAAGATGTGAGAGAATGTAATAAGTTCAAAGCTAAATAGTAGACGATTACTGGCAGGTTTACAACTAGTCAAACACAAAAACTCGGACTCTGCGAGTTGTTTAACCGGCTGTACCTCAGTAATTATCCAGTATTCAGCAAGTCATAAGCTACAATATAGGAAAAAAGCAGTCAATTCTAAAATCCTAAGTATCTCGTGCGTAGTTCTTTGCAATATTCAACGACACCTTCGTCAAACCATATGAGAATTTGTATGACAGCCACAATATACAATCTTTCTGCGAGCGACACCGGGTATATCAGGAAGGGATCTTGAAACGCGCAAATTACGCCAGCGGGAAACGGCCTTTCGGGCCTTGAAGGCTCTCGATGACGACATCGTGTTACGGGGATAATCGGCCCGAAGGTTTTCAGCACCGAGAGAGGATCAAGGTCGAAGACAGGAAAGCACAGGTAGGCAGTCTGGGAGCCAGCGCGAAAGACGCGAGAGACTCGATGTTAAAATTGAGGAAGACAACCGAGACCTCCTCCTCCTTTACCTCCTCCAACCTCTCGTTGGTGGTCGGTCCGGGTCGACGACCCCCGCGGACATTCACCGACATGCGTTCACCTCCTCTGCGTTACCGGACCGGTGAGATCGCGCCGTGGACTTCTTAATTGACCGACAAACATGCCGTGATTCGGCGCGATGCGATATATAGAATAGATACGGAATTAAAAGCACGGGAGAAGTTACGATATATCCTAATAATTCAGAACAACATTTAGTCTCCTCTAGAAGCAAGTTGGTGGTTCTTCAATTTTGGTTCCTCATAGAGGAAGCTTAATGGGTAAAATAATATAGATCCAACAATTTGCACACTTTTTTCACATAAATTGACATTGTCAAATTCGATAATAACCCTCATAAAAAATAACCCTCTTCACTGATCCTCGTCAAAAGAGTTAATATCAATCATTCTGTAATGATCCCTATTCGTGTAAAAAATTTAGCTCAACATCTCGAAATTTGCGAGAATTAAAAAATTGCAATATCTCAAAATTTGTATTTTCTTTAAATTTCACATTTCATGTTCTTTGCATAAATTCAAAAATTCACATTTTTTTGAAAAATTCTAAATTTCATAAAAACTGAACTCTTTCATCGAATCATTTCCTTGCCAAACTCAATATCAAACATCCTTCAATAATACATATTAATATAAAAAAAAATTTTTAATTGAAATTACATTAAAATTTAAAAAACTATGAATTTTTATAAAAATGACAGTAAATATCTTACTCATATGTCAAAACATTCTCTTCCTTTTCAAGGAGAGAAGAAGCAAAAGATTCTCCAGAGTTCAAAACTCACCTCGGCGTGACAAAAACACATTTTAAATATATAAATAAAAATTAACTTCGTATAAATAATTAATTTTCTTATCTGAAAAAAAAAATAAAAATAAGATACCACATTTCAGACACAGCAAGATTATTAGACTAATGAAAGCAGTTCGCACATAAATTTTTCCCTCCCCGTTGATCACTTACTTATATACTTTATTATACGAATTAAAAACTTAGGGCGCGCGCGTTAACGATCGATCGATAAATTTAATGACATTCGACGACCTTCGCAAGCACAAATTTGCGATAGAGATAGAGAAATTAGATGAAACATCCACAGACCGAAACCGGGTGATTTCTTGCGCGAAGCGTGGAAAACTTAAAACCGTACATACGACACGCTCCAACCCCAGAAGGCAACGATGCGTTTCGGGTATTAACCTCTTCCGGAAACGGCTCGAGCTTGAGTCAAGGCCATAGATACACTTGACCGTTGTTCTATGAGAATAATCACCGGAGAGAGAACTCCTCTCCATCCTCTTCAATTATTATTATTATTAATAACGTTTCCATTCATCAGCATCTCGCACTTTGTATATATATCACATTTCTAATACAATTAAATTATTAAAAACTCATAATAAAAATATATAATAATATAAATATAATATACAATGTAAAAAATAAAATAAATGTAAAATAATACAAAATAATATATAAAATAATATACAAAATAATATTAAATAATATAAAAATAATATAAAATATATAATAAAATAAAATAATACAAAATAATGTATATAAAATAATATATAATAATATAATATTAAATATATAAAAATAATATAAAATATATAATAAAATAAAAAATAAAATAAAATAATAAAATAATACAAAATATATATAAAATAATATATAAAATAATATAATATTAAATGATATAAAATAATATAAAACATATAATAAAAAATAAAATAAAAATATAAAAAATAACATTCAAAATATAAATAAAAAATATAATATGGAAGAAAAGAATGTAACATATTATAAAATAATATAAAAAATTTGATTTGACGTAATGTAAATTAATATATTGATACCTATGTATATATCTTGAGGAAAGAGTAAGATTTCTCTGTATAAAACGGAACGAAATGAATCTCCTACCATAAACACATACACCTTGAAGCAGTTGCTAAATCACTTGGTAATTAACATGCCAATTACTGGCGTCTAACACATAATTGGTATTTTAAACGAAATATATGATTTCTCTGCAATTCTAAAATAGAGACAGGGAAAAAAATAGCATGGTCATTCCATCTTTCAATTTATCAGTTCCACGCAAAATTTTCAGCGGAGAAGAAAAAAACTGTATCTTACAAGAAAAATAATAATGGAGAACATTACGTTGCAAGATATGTAAGGAACGGTTTACCAGATTTTTTTTCTTTTTTTTTTCTTCGAACGTCAATAAACAGTTAATCCAAGAAGTCTCGATGTTTTTATCTCTCCATTTGTTTATTAATAAAATCGTAATCTTATCGCTGCTAGAATCCGATCAGCTCGAGATGATAATTTTCTCGGAATTAATGACTTACTTGCATATTTTATTATTTATATTAATTATTCGCTCGATGCAATTTATTATGCAACAAATAAGTGATAAAGAAATAATACCGATAAATCCTTAATAAAGTCTCGGCGTTATAATAAATCGTTTTATCTCATTTCATTAGCATCTCGATGTTGCACAAAAATTGATAGTTGTCCTCTCTATTCTTATCCTTATCAGAATATCAACATCGATCCGTTACTTTATTAAATTCTTATTATCGTCGAAGAGTCTCTCGGAGGGGGATGATAAAATTGTATGACGAGTAAAAATTGACGCTTTAATAATAATAATCGTCGTGCTTGAAACTTAAAATAAAAGAAAATGGCTTTTTTATTTCCAATTTCCAGGTGGAGAGAACCTGAAATAGCTTTATACGAATTACTTATTACCGGCCCTTTTTATCGCTTCGTTCTCTCGAGAATGAACGAACCGAAACAAACGACTATAAATGGAAATTACAGTGATTTCGCGCAGAAATGGCGGAGAGAAAAAAAAGGAGAGAAACTGGGTGAAGCATGTCATATCGAAGGAACTGGAGGCAGTCAATTTCTCGGGGGGGAGGAAAACAA